CGCTCGCGCGGGGCGCCCTCGCGAGGCGCCCGGCGTGCGCCTCGTGCGCCTCGGCTGCGGCGTGCGCTGCACGGCGCAGCTATCACCGCGCAGCTTTTGCCGCACGGCCTGCGTCGCGCAGCCTACGGCACACGGGCTGCACCACAGGCGCTGCACCACGCACAGGTGGCGCATCGTAGCCTCCGCCGCTTCCATGCCGTCGCTGGCACCGCGTGCCCTGCTCGACAGGGCTAGCACCACGTGGCTTGTACCACACCGCTTGACCATGTAGCTTACGGCGCACAGCTTGCACCTCCCAGGGTGCTCCACATACCGTGAGCGACATACCCTACGCCACACAGCTTATACATCCACAGTGCAAGAACTTTGTGTGTGTGTGTGGGTCCACGCTGGCAAGCACGTATTCCGCACACGCGCTGTCGCTGGGGTTTGCCCACACTTTACCAACGTGCCGCGCTCTCGACGCCAAGGGTCGGGCTCTCGCACGAGTCTTCTTCACAGTATACTCCGGTCGGGTGCTCTTGCCTGAGACCTCTTCACAGTGTCCGAAGTCCGCTTCGATGCCACAGCCCGTTAGGGCCCTCCCGCCCAACCCGTCTTGTAGCGTCCGCCCGCCCGGCTCGCCCGTAATGTTAGCGTCGCTTGCTTGGAAGCCTGGCCGCTCACAGGTCCCGCCGCACCAGCCCATTACGGCCCGCCCGTCAGGCCCGCCTGTCAGGGTCCGCTCGCCCGAGGCGCCTGTTATAGAGTCCGCTTGCCCGACCTGCCCGCCAGGGTCCCGCATTCGCTTGATCGGAAGCTCGCCCTCCCGCTTCAATGCCCCGCTCGCCAGACCCGCCGGTCAGGCTCCGCCCGCCCAGCAAGCCCTGATAGGGCCCGCTCGCCCCCATGCCTGTCAGAGTCCGCTTGACAAAAGAAGTGCTTGCCCCCCCGCTCGCTCATTCCGCGGGCCCGTATTGTGCCATCGTTGGCGTTTGCGTGCGCGTTTTCGGGCCATGCGGCGCTGCTGGTCGGCGTTGCTGCGGCTGTGGGTGAGAGTCCTCACGGATGCTTTTTGGTGTCTCTTTGGAGGGTTCTTGGGGGCTCCTGTGTAGCAGTTTCAGGGGCTCCTTGGGGCGCCTTGGATGCCTCTTGGAGCTCTCTTGGCGCCTCTTGGGGGCCTCTTGGACCCTCTTGGGGGGCTTTTTGGGTCCCGCTTGGGGCAGCCTGGACGCCTCTTGGGGCCGAGGGCTCGAAGGGTTCTTGGAGCTTCTGAGGAGCTTTTTTGGAGGCCTTTTGCGGCCTCCTGGGCGCGTCTTTGGAGCCTCGTGAGGCCTATTGGGAACTCCTGGGAGGCCTGGGGGGGAAGGCTCTGGGGGCAATTTGGAGGCCGAAGGCCCATTGAGAGCTCTTCGGTTGCCTGGGGGGGGGGGGGCTCTGGGGGCGATTTTGACGCCGAACGCTCGAAATGTCATTTGGGGCTTCCCCTCGATGGGGTCTTCTGAAGGTGTCTTAGGGCTCTCCAGGGCCGTCTTCGGAAAAACTTGGGCCTTCTTGGAGTCCCCGTGAGCCGTTTTGGGGCTCTCTTGGAGGCTGAATGGGCCGTCTTGGAGCGATCCTAGGGGCATCTTAGGCCGTCTCAGAGCGTCGGAGGCCGAAAATGCGAGAACGCTAAAACATTGAATTATCCCAATGCGACCCTACCTAGGAGTTGGACCCCCTAGGAAAACAGCATTAGTAGTAGCAGTAAAGCTAAGCTAAAGCTAAGCTAAGGCTAAGCCAACACTAAGCTAAAGCTAAGCTAAAGCTAAGCTGAAGCTAAGCTAAATCTAAGCTAAAGCTAAGCTAAAGCTAAGCTGAAGCTAAGCTAAAGCTAAGCTAAAGCTAAGCTAAAGCTAAGCTAAAGCTAATATAAAGCTAAAGCTCTAGATAAGCTAAAGCTAAGATAAAGCTAAAGCTCTAGATAAGCTAAAGCTAAGTTAAAGCTAAGCTAAATCTAAGGTAACGCTAAGCTGAAGCTAAGCTAAAGCTAAGCTAAAGCTACGCTAAAACTAAGCTACAGTTAAGCTACAGTTAATCTAACAATAAGCTAAAGCTAAGCTAAAGCTAAGCTGAAGCTAAGCCAAAGCTAAGGTAAAGCTAAGCTAAAGCTAAGCTAAAGCTAAGCTAAAGCTACGCTAAATCTAAGCTAAAGCTAATCTAAAGCTAAGCTACAGCTACGCTAAAACTAAGATATAGCTAAGCGACAGCTAAGCTAACACTAAGCTAAAACTGAGCTAACACTAAGCTGAAGCTAAGCTAAAGCTAAGCTAAATCTAAGCTAAAGCTAAACTAAAGCTAAGCTACAGCTAGAGCTAAAACTAAGATATAGCTAAGCGAAAGCTAAGCTAACACTAAGCTAAAACTGAGCTAACACTAAGCTGAAGCTAAGCTAAATCTAAGCTAAAGCTAAGCTAAAGCTAAGCTAACACTAAGCTGAAGCTAAGCTAAAGCTAAGCTAAAGCTAAGCTAAAGCTAAGCTAAAACTACGCTAAAGCTAAGCTACAGCTAAGCTACAGCTAATCTAACAATAAGCTAAAGCTAAGCTAAATCTAAGCTGAAGCTAAGCCAAATCTAAGGTACAGCTAAGCTAAAGCTAAGCTAAAGCTAAGCTAAAGCTACGCTAAAACTAAGCTAAGGCTAAGCTAAAGCTAAGCTAAAGCTAAGTTAACACTAAGCTGAAGCTAAGCTAAAGCTAAGCTAACACTAAGCTAAAGCTAAGCTAAAGCTAAGCTACAGCTAGAGCTAAAGCTAAAGCTAAGCTACAGCTAAAGCTAAGGCTAAAGCTCCCAGGGGACTGGGGGAACCGCGGGGCGGGGACTGGGGGAACCGCCCGGGGCGTGTAGCACTGCCTGGCCCCTTTTAAGCTAGAGAGTAAGAACCCTTCTAGGCAGAGCCTAGGTAGGGAAAAATCCAATGGCAAATCTGCCTCTAAGGGGCTTCTTGGGAGTGGTCGTGGAGGCAGCTTCGAGCGTCTAGGAGGCTGTTGAAGCCATCTGGAGGCTATCTTGGATCTTTGGTATATTGGACCCGCTTTTGGTGACTGGGCCCTCTTAGGCCGCCTAGGGACCCTCTTGAGACGCTCTTTAAAGCCCTGAAGGCAGCCCCCAGGAGTTCCGGCATCCGCGACGGGGACCGCCCGGGAACGGCCCGGGATTTGCATGGGGTATTTTTCGTCTGAGGACTCCCAGGGGCAGCCAAGCGCGCGCGAACTAGAAGTATTCTAAAGCTGCTACCGATGATTTTAGCACGCCTTTGGCCCGTTGGGCCCGTTGGGCCCGTTGGGCCCGATGAGGAGGTACGCTCGCGAACGAAGGACCACTCTTTCCAGACCCCGACGCAGTGATTCTTTTCATAGCGTGGACCCCCGGGTCTGGACCCCGTCCAGGGCACCAGCTTTTTATCCTGGGTCCTTTTCTGACGAGCGCGAGGCCTGGCAAGACCCCCCAGAAGCCAACGTAACGAAACAATGACCGCCATATTTGTTGCATGACCCGAGGGGGTCCGGGCCATGTTTTTTCCATGACCCGAAGGGGTCTGGGTTCTTCCCCGCCTGCCCCCCCTGAGATCCGACGTAGCAAAACAGAAACACAACATCGTGAAAAATCACGACCAGAGCCCTGGACCCTACTTTCTGCGCCGTTTTCCGAGCCGAATTTCACTGTGAGGGTCCTGGGGCCCGGGACTTGGCGAAAACGCCTGGTTCGAATCAATCGAAGCGCCAGGATCCCAGGGTTGTTCCCTAATTGTGTTTTGCTGGAGGATTCTGTCATATGTCGAAGAGGACCACAGGAGAGAACAACATGGGGACCTATAGCCCTGGACCGCCTGGTCCGGCAGCTGTGTCTGTGGAGACTTCCTCATAATGTATTCAGGAGTCGTGCTCTCGCCCCAGCGACATCTACATTTTAGGTCCAGGCGGCCACGATCGTGCACATGGCTGTGCTCAGAGCTCCTTAGGTGCCCGTGCAGTGCCTTTCGTCTGACTGATGTTCTGTGAGTTGTGTGCCGGCCTCAGCTGACGGGCTTCAGGCTTCATCCAGCTACGCCCAGAGAGAGCAGGGGAGGGGGGAAGGCTTTTTAGAAACGCCCCTGCTTCTTGGAAGGCTCGGGCCTTACACATACATATATATATATATATATACACACATTCAGCCATCCATTCACACATACATGCATGCATATATATACATATATTCGTACACACATGCGTACATGCGAACACACATACACGCACACATGCATGTACACGTACATACGACCATGCATATACACATGCATACATCGATTGAGACATATATGTATAGTACATACATCTATACGTACATCCATACGTACACACACAAACGCACGTGCACGTTTACACACATTCCTACATACACACATACAGACAGACAGGTATACATACGTGCAGACAAGGATACATGCACACATTCATACATACACATACATACATGCATGCATAGTTATATACACTCATGCATATATATATATATACAGACACCTACACACGTAACTACAACCAAACCTACGCACATATGTGTTGCAATTGTTTGCAGTGTAAGCGTACATCTATATGTATGTTTACAAATGCACATGTGGCCAGTCATGCGTGCATGTATGCATGTATATATGAATGCATGCATGCATGCATGCATGCATGCATGCATACATACATGCATGCATGCGTGTAGGTCTGTATGTATGTTGGTATGTAGGTGTGTATGTTTGTATGTGTAGGTCTATATACACATATATATGTATATATATATATAGATGTGTATATATATATATAGATACGTATGTTTCGTTCCTTCTGGGAAGCAGCCTCCTTTTAAGAAGCCTTGCCCCCACCTTCCCCCTTGTACGCTCCGCCAGCTTCACCAGCGCCGAAATCCAAACCCCCGCCTCAGGGCGAGCAGCCTGCTCCTGCCCTGGAGGCGCTCGCGGCCGGCGCGGGCGGGCCGCGCGCAGCGGCCGAGGTCGGTGATAGTGCCGAACTTCGTCCGCCCAGGGCGCCGCCGCCGGGGGGGTGCTGGCAGAGGGAGCGCCAGCGGGATTTTTCCAGGAGGAAAAGAAACACACAGACACAATTAATCGTCGATTCCCCGGAAAATGTGGGAAAATATGGGAAGTGGGGGGGAAGACAGACACCCAGAAAATATGGAAGAATATGGGGGATATTTTTATTTGTGTGTATTTATTCGTGTGTCCTTGGGCCCCTTCACTTTTGCTGCAGATCCTGGCGTCTCTCCATTGTTTGCAGCCGGGCGTTTTCTCACCCGGCTTCGAGGCCCAGGGCCCTCCCAGATCGATGCGGCTCGCAGCGCGGCGCAGAGCGGCGGAGTCTCGGGGCTCTGTGCACGATGTCCCGCGATGCTGCGATTTGTTCGCAAGGTCGGATCTCAGGGTGAGGCTCTGAGGAGATGCGCCCAGGCACCTCCCCCGCCCAGGTAGTGCCGGCTAGCCTCAGAGTAGGCCTCCCCCAGGCAGTCCCAGCTGAACATGCCCCACGAGTAGCCTGGGGCGGTCTCGACGCCCTGGCGCCGCCTCCAGCGGCGCCCCTTGGGAGCTCCGCGCCCCAGGGTTGAGGTGTTGCGTCCGGCCTGGACTCCTCGGAGGGATCCTACTGAGGCCAGCTGGGGCTGCTCGGGGGGCCTGCCGAGGCCAGTTGGGACTCACCAGCGGGGTTGGAGGGGCGAGCGTTTTTCCAGACCTCGGACGATCAGCTTCCATCAGGAGGCACAATTTTTCGCCGATTCCCAGGAGAATATGGGAAAATATGGGAAGTGGGGGGGAAGACAAAAACTTAGAACATATGGGAAAATATGGGGAGTCTATTTATTTGTGTGTATTTTTTTGTGTGTCCCAGGGCCCCTTCATTCTAATCCGAGCGTGTTCCCTCGGTTTCAGCCCCTGGGCCCCCCCCGCAGGGCCCTCGGGCCCTCACGAATAGATCGGGTGGCGACAGGCTGGCCCCAGGGAAGGGGTCGGGACCCCTGGCGCCGACCGGGGCGTACAGCCCAAGGGGGCTCTAGTGGCCCATGTCTTCGGCGAGGCCCCCCGACTGAGGCGTGGAATGCCGCATGCTCGCCTTTGCGTGGGGCTATCCACGACTTGGGGGGCGCGGAGAGGGAGTGAGGAATTGGGGAGTGGAGTAGGTAAAAAACAGGAGAGAGGGAGGGAGAGGGAGGAGATGAGGGCGGAGGAAGGAGGAAGGGAGGCGATGAGGGCGGTTGGGCAGCCCAGGCGGGGCGAGGAGGCCCGGGAGATGTATTTTTTTCTTGCGCGCACGGTTGTTGGCCCCGCCTGCCCCTCATCCTCACGACCTTCTGCTCGAAACCCCCTCCAACTCCTCGTCGTCGTCGTCCTCCTCCTCCTCCTCCTCCTCCTCCTCCTCCTCCTCGTCCTCCTCCTCCTCCTCCTCCTCCTCCTCCTCCTCCTCCTCATCTTCCTCCCTTGGAGGTCCGCGCACGAGGGGTCCGCCTGCGTGGCTGTAGACCCCGCCCGGTGCCCCTGTGAGGTCCACGCGCAAAGGCCTCCACAGGCTCTGGGGCCGCAGGAGCGGATTACCCTAGCCCCCTCCCCTGGCGCGAGCTTTTTTTCTGATTTTATGGGAGGGGGGGGGCGTTTGGACCACACTTCCGCTGAGGCGGACTGGGTTGGGCGCGGAGGGTGCTGTTTTTTGTTTCGACTGTTCTTGGGGCCTTGGTGTGGCGTGGGGAGAAATTGTTCCGAGCTATCAGTGGCACTCGCACTGATTTCGTCGACATCTGCACCATACAGTGGGGGCGCGCATCAAGAAACCATCTGCTTTTCGTCAGGGTATCCTGGGTTTCTTCGCTCCTCGCGCTGCGCGGTGACTTCCCGCAGCCGTTGAAGGAGCTGCTGCGTTCAGGGTGCTCCAGGTTTCCCATCAGGTGCACCTCGCGCACGGGTTCTCAGGGTTGAGTTCCTTGCGAGGGTTTCTTGCGGCCGCGCCCGCACTGTAGTCGTCGACAACACCACAATCACCAACAGCATCAGCAGCACCAATAATGACAACATCCATGATCTCCTGCTCTGTACCGAGCTGCTTGAGGCAAACGCCGCTGCAGTGCTATCGAAGGCGCCTGCGGCGAATCGCCGCCGCCCCCTGCCTTTTTGAAAAGCGCCTCTATGGCCAAACGTTTGGGCCCAGAGTTTGGATAAGCTTTCAGTGGAAACCCTTCGGGGAACCGTAGTCGAAGGTGTTCCCCGAGCCGCAGTGGAAACTTTTCGGGGAACACTTGGAGGAGCATGAGGCCCAGGATCAGGATGAGGAGAAAGAGGAGAATGAGGCCTCCTGGGAGCCTCTTGAGCCACCTCTTACTAGAGCGAGTAGTCGCATCGTTCTAACAAGCCATACACGCGCACCGTCCGGGACGTGCCACTGCACGCACCCGCTTGGCCGTCGGAAGGCCGAAAAGAAGCAAGTGCCGACATCTTTCCAGAACCTAAAGAAACCGAATGATTTTGGCCTCTTCGGGCCCTCCTGGGAACCTCTTGGAGGCCTCTTGGGCCGTCGTAGATGCTGGTTAGGGGCTCCTTGGGCCGTCTTGGGCCATCTTAGAGGCTTCTTTGGCGAACTTGGAGGCATCTCGGACCCTTCTTGCGCCGTCTTGGAGACCATCTTGGACCCTCTTGGGCCGTCTTGGGGGCCATGTTGAACCATCTTGGGCGAACTTGGAGGCCTCTTGGGCCGTTCTGGAGACCACTTGGGCCATCACAGAGGTCATCTTGAAGGCCTTTAGGGCCATCTTGAGGCGATCTTGCGGGCCTCTTGGGCCGTCTTGGGCTGCCGGAAGGCCGAAAAGAAACAGATGCCAACATCTGACAACGAACCTAAACACAACACATGCTCTTGGCCTCATTGGTCTTGGCATCGCTCGGACGTGTGCATTTTTCCTTCGGCGAGGACCGTCGAGGAGCATCCTTGATTATTTAGGGAAAAAACCACGCACGAAACCGACAAAAATAACACAGGGAATGGACGTCCGAGCGATGGCCAGTGGTCCCTCCTGAAGGACCTCTTGGAGGCCATTTGGGCCGTCTTGGAGGCCTCTCGGGGGCCTCTTGGAGCCATCGTCCCCGCCGATCTGCCAATTTAGCACTTCATCCTTGTAGCCTTTGAGCTCTCCAGGTGCATGAGGAAACATCATCCGCCCTCCGCCATCATATCTACTAGAAGCTTGTGAGACGAATTTGCGCGGCGAGGTGAGACGAGAACCACATTTCGAAAACCGTTCGCCCTCCATCGCTGTAGCTGTAAAGAACCGTTTAGGGCAGATCGGCGCGGCACCAAGGCGAGCGCCACACCTTGAGCACCATTGGCCCCCCATCTTTGCAGCTTTTGGAACTTTCATGCTTCAGGGTCGTAGTTGGCGGGGACTTGCCAGTCGACACGCCCCGCCCGCCCTACCGACACGCGTAGTGGTGCGACGGGGAGGACTGGATTGGGAGGGCAGGCGATGGAGCAAGAGCAGGATGAGCGGCAGCAGCAGCAAAAACACGAGAAGGAGCAGCGCGGGCACAGCGCGAGCAGGAGCATGGGTACCAGGGAGTGGAGGAGGAGGTGGAGGAGGAGGAGGAGGGGCCCTTCCTCCGAGCCCTGCTTCCGCCTGTCCCCGTCCTCCTCGCAATCATGCGGTTTCGGCTCGGGGCGCTCGAGCGACATCCCGTGCAGCTCCCTTCCAACCGCCTCCCCGGGAGCCGCCCCGCCTCGCCGCGCCGAAGCGATGCCGTGCCTGGTGTCGCTGTACGACTGCCTGCGCGCGTGGAACAACCCCGCCTCCATCGCCCACAAGCCGTGGAACAAGAACAAGCTGGACTCCTCCTCCTCCTCCTCCTCCTCCTCCTCCTCCTCCTCCTCCTCCTCCTCCTCCTCCTCCCTCTCCTCGAGCAAAGTCGAGCAACAGCCGGCCCTTCGGCTGTTTTCGGCCCTCTCCGGGGGAGGGGGGGGGGGCGTAGGGGGGGCCGTTCTCGGCCCAGGGGGGGCCGACAGCGGGCGAGGAGAGGCGCAGACATGGACTGGGGCGCGTGGATGAGCGACCCATCGCGTCTCCATGCAGGTTCGACGCGCTCCGCCGCCGAATCGGGGTGCGATGGCTTCAGGTCTCGCCCCGATCCGCGGATCAGGCGCCCGCGCGCCTAGGTCCAGGGATCCTTGGTCCACACTAGCGTGTGCCTGCAAAGCACGACCCAGGGCGGACACCAGACCGTTGGGGAAGTCAAGGGAGAAACAACCCTTCCCCGACGTTCATCGTTGGCGTTCGATGAACGGCTTTTGGCGGTTACTGTGCAGCCTTGTCTTGTCTTGTTCGATCCCTGCCTTGGACACGTTTAACAAAAATGCTTCGCTAGTCGGGCTGCTTATTACGAGAGAATTGTGTTTTGTTGGACAGCTTCTCAGAGAACAGGAACAAGAGGTCTGGGGTGCACGGCGCGCACTGAAGGGAGCACAGCGCGCCACATGCCTAAGAGTACAGGCAGCCGTTGGGGTGCCGCCCGCTTTGTCTGCACCGATCCTGGGCCCAGGAGCGGGCCCATGGTCGGCTCGTACAGTCAACACGCTGAAACAAAGACCGTGATGTGCAAGAGGGGGCTTTGATCCGTTCCGCAAGCCTAGCTCGGGGGACTTCTTTCGTTGCCAGGGCTCGCTTGTGCCAGGAAAGCTGCTTCGCCTCACATCCCCGCGTTCCTTCTGGCCGCACGACGGGTGTGCGTTGTTCTGGCCGGGCCAGGGGCGTATCTACCGATGGGCCCGGGAGAGGGCGAGGGGGAGGGGGAGAGGGGGATGAGGGGGAGGGGGGTGAGCGGGAATGGGGAAAGGAGGCGCACCTAATTACCCGCCCACTGCAGTAGGGAGAGGGAGAGGGGGAGGGGGAGGATGGGGATGGGAGGGGGAATGAGAGGGAGGAGGAGGGGAGGGGGGAGGAGGAGTAAGGACGTGCACGAATACTACTACGAAGAGTTCCTGAAGAAGCCCGTGCCTGCC